ATTTGCAGACAACTATTAATGGATAGGCAGTTGCCGCCGCACTGTCATCTAAGTGCGTGCGCACTCCCCTTTCAACGCCGAGATATGGACGAAATCCGACCATTTCAGTTTTTCTTTCGACTTTTCTCTTATAGTCTTGTTTGCTATAGATGCTGCAATGTGTCAGGGGAGGGGCAGGCGGGAAACGAACCATCGGCGCTGATTATCGACGGGGGGGGGGGCATTTTGTACTATCACTGCTTCCCTTGTTCCGGTTTGCAAATCTCACTTTGGTAAAACTTGTGAACTCTTGTAAAGCTGGAGCAGGATCGTCTAGCCACCATCCCAAAACGTGTCAACTCGAGAAAACGCTACCTAGATGGGTCGACACATCTATGGAAAGCAAATGCCCCCCCCCGTCGATAAACTGCGCCCGAACCATCTGTGTTTTGCGGTGGTTTTTTTCAACTCATGCCTCTTTCTTCCACCTTAATTGCGAGCTCGTTTGCCACCAATTATTGTCAGCTGCTCGTTGAAAGTTGGTGGACATCGGGTTGGCGCCGCGCCAAACCCAGCCCTCTGGCACACCACCATCCGCAACGAACACAACTGTATCTAGGGGCAATTTCAGCGGTACATTGCTTATAGAACTAGTTTATTCTGAAAAACGCTTCCAAATTGGTTGACTATAGTAAGATGAGAGCACGAGGACAGAATATCAGTAAGATAATAAGGGAAATCAACAACAAAATTCAATAGCAACATAAAAAGTTTTGGCACTGAGAGATTAAGGCTTGGTTATCCGTTTGAAATAAAGGCTGGGCAAGCTTGGTTAGATCACTTATAAGAAGTCGTAACGGTATTAAGTAAATTGCAAGTGACAAGTAGATATGGCACGTTTTTGGAAATGAACCATGAAAATAGCCTAAGAGCACATTCCGCGCTGGACGTCTGGGCGGAGCTGGGCGTTGCCGTTATATTGCTCCTGCTGTTTCTATCATAGGAAGGAGCGGTGAAACAATCCAGGAAAGTAGATAGTCTCATACGACCAAAGTGGAATGTGCTTTCAAATAATAAGTAGTAGATAGAAAGGGGTTAGAGTTCCTCCATCTTCCTTTGAGCTCTTCGTAATCGACGCCTCTCCTCGACGAACTTAGGATGACGACGTACGTATTCAACCATCTGCAAAACTTTCAGGATGAGTACTGGAGATTCAAGCTGTTCAGCTGCTTATTTATTGACTGTGACATGAGAAGTAGCTCAAGCCAGTTGAAAAAAAGGTAGTCTTGTCACTACGGATGCTGGAGCGAGTCAGTCCTGAACGTCGAAGGAGGGGGGAGGCCGGGGGCGGTGTGTTCGAGCGACGCTAGTGGTGTTCTTCCCAATCGTCAAGGAAGAAGTGACAAAATTGTGAGAAAGCTAATGCTAACGCGGGGCAGCCTATTCTCCACAACTGTTGAAGGGGACAAGCGATTGGTGGAATTTGAGGCTCCGACACGCCCCAGCATCTGTAGCGAACAAGACTATCTCCATATCAAAGTGGCTAGGAAGGATGTGCAAACATCTAAATGTGAGCGTGGCGACGAATGCCTATCTTAGGAATTTTTCGATTCTTGGCAGAGAGGGTATATCGAGATGCAGACGGCGCGCCTACAGGGACGGTTTGTGGCAGCACACTGCCACAGACAAGTCCTACACGCGCGCTATCACAGACGCAGCGCAGTCGCGGCGCCCACAGCGAGTTCCGTTGGCACGCCTTCCACGCCGAGATATGGACTGTACAAGCAGGCAATAAGAGAGTGTGGTAACATGTTTTCAATAACGCCAGAGCACCTACAAACTGAGGATCAAAAGACACAGTAAGGAAAGGGGAAGAAGAGCTGGCGCCGGCTTGGGGGGGGGGAGTCTCACCAGTTCCCACGGCGAAGAAACCTGCAAACTCCTGCTAAGCAGTAGGAAATGGCACTCAGGAAGGCTATGCAACACATTCTGTGGAACCATTCAAACTCTCTCAAACCCTTCATTTCTGAGGTTCGGAAAGCCAGCACAGCTTGTCTCATTTCGCAGCTTCACAAGAGCTTACAAGTCTCATGGTCAGCGGGATGAGAAAACTGAAGAAACTGGTCAACTAGCACAAATACCCCCCTCTTCTTAGCCAAATAGGGCCCAAAAGCAGTACTCACCGTTTTGACCTGTCGTACGAATTCATCAGGGTCAAATCTGTAATTCGTGAACTTCTTGTGCGGTACACCCGTTTGCGGATGAGCGCCTTCGTCTTCGGGATAGATCAGGTGTTCCTAGAATTAAGAATATACATCACTTTTATCAAAATAGGACCTCTAAAGACCTTTGTAATCCTTGTTACGAAGAGGTTCGAAGGAACGTTCCCCACGGAATAAATTTCGTGGAAATCCCTTCTCAGGGGGAAATTCAGTTCCCAGAATGCGGAAATGACATCCTTTCGGCGCAAAACGGACGCCGTACGAACTACAGGCACCAGCGGCAAAACATCTCTGATCACTAAACTAGCAGAAAACATGTCGCAGGCCTAGAGACAGTTAGGCTTCTTGAACACGAACATCATAACGGCCTAGTGTGTGCACTATGGCACCGGCGCCTGGGGCTCCGGTGCCATAGT